GTTCAGTCCATTTAGGACGATGCAGGCCTTTAGAAAGCTATATAGATCAGCTCTCCGCCGCGGTTTTGATATCTGTACGTTCGTGTTGATTTAGACTCCAAGTTCATGTTAAAAGTACTCTTAATTAAATTGTACAATTCAGACGATGAATTTAGTCTTCGTGGTCTCAAAAGGCATACAGGAGAGTTATTTGCTTTTATTTGAGCTACGATAAGCCTTGTGGAAAGCTAGCTCTAGGACAGAATTGTATCAAGATTATCAGTGACCGAAGTCAAATTCTGTGGCTATGTTTTTGCGAACCCAGACAGATAGGCATATTGACCAGAGTCACATTATTATACCTTGTGATATTTTCATCGGAACCGACGGGCCGTACCTTTTCGATCTTTATCAGTTAAGAAGAAATCTGAGCGATTTCCCGTTTATACGATAGCGTAAATATATCTAAACATAAAGGTAGGAGAAGGGGTTTCAAATTTAATAGTATAAATCATAGTGTATGGCACCGCCGGCCAGGAAAGCCCCAACATATCAGTGCATGAAGTTTTTTCATCATCAGGTGCATACTGAACGCCCCACTCCACAGATGCACAAGGAGAGAAGGGCCATGATTCTTCTCGGATGTGCAGTGGGAGCTTGTCTTGAACACGGGGATGGAGATGATTGGAAGTTTTGTCTGCTAACAGCAACTCTACTGACGGAGATCTCAATGAACAACGTCATCAAAGGTAATATTTTGCAATAGAAGAGTGAAGAGGTCAATGCCCAAGGTTGAGTGAAATCTTAAGCTTAAGTAGTGTTTGACAGTTACATGGTATTGTTTGCCATAGAAATAAGGTCAAGCGGGTACCTCTGTGAAAAAGGTTAACCATTCTTCGAAATGACAAAATGTCTATGTAATAAAATATTCCTACTAAGAAATACAACTATCATCTCTAGTTTGCACTGCTTTCCGAAGGTCCGAAGGTGAATAGCCCTCGTTTAAGCCCATAGAAAGCCATCTCTAACTCGCTTTCTTTAATTTATTTTCATTGATGTAACTGAGGTGTGAGGATCATAGCTGGGTCCTGTTTGGAGGATCTTCTTAGAAATGAAAAAGCGCAGAAGAGGCCAGAATGTAGAGAAATCCTTGACCATCTTTCTAAACGGGTGCTGTTCTGTCAAGACAGTCTTAATAAGAAGCTTTTGGTACCTCATCTACTCAACAACCAAAATGCACAGTACAAACTTCCAGCAGAACTCCACATTGAGCACCTTGCTTCTTGCTACAAGACGCAGACACTGGAAGTTAACAGCACAATAGTCAGCGAGTCAAGATGCCAAATATCGAACCGTTTTGTCCACGGTGGTGCGTTAAAAGGTCAAAAAGTGGCCGTGAAAATTTTGGCTGTCACGATGCAAGATATCCTAGAAGAAAACCCCACAGAGCAGTCGAAGGCGAAGAAACGGCTTATTGCAGAAGCCTACAACTTACGGCAATTAAACAGCTTAAATCAGCATCCAAACATTCCGCACCTTCTCGCCTATAATACAACAACCGTACCTTTTCACATCATCACTCAGTATGAGAAATACGGTGATCTGCTTCAGCTTGTCCGAACGTCGCGAGAAGTTAAGGCTTTGTCGTCGTCCGTTATTTACAAAATGCTCATCAGCATAACGGAAGGCCTTTTGTATTTACAGCAAAAGCTGCACTTGGTTCACCGAGCCCTCATGGCGGAAAACATTCTAGTCGGAGACGGTTATACATGCAAGTTGACTGGCCTGCACTCCTTAGGAAAGCTACCACATAAACGTCATGGAGACGGTAAGATTAACTGTAACGAAAATAATCACAGTTCATTTTCATAGGCTTTCCTCTGAGGTCCATTCTTCTTGTCAAAAAACGTACGGTCCAACCTTAACCGAAGTTAATCAGTTGCTGCTATTGCCGGTTTTCATGTGACGCTGTCACATCCCAAATTAAAAAACATATATACATTAGCTATTCTTCTGAGTTTTTACTTTCATCAGATATAAAACCCTCCCAGAGCTTGGTTTTTCATAAAGTTGTATAGCTCTCACATACATACACATTGTACCCTTGATGAATCAAAGGCTTCCTGAGCCAGCTCATGGATGAATAGTTGACTTTTGCCTCTGTCGCAAAACGAGTCTTTGTGCAGTTCAAAACTATTCGTATGAAAATGCATGTCACCTGCACGTTCATTCTCTTGAAAATCAAGTCATTTTCATGAGAAATGTTTTGCACGAGCATTCGTTCTAAAAAAGAGGCAAACAGCAACTCCGAAGTGGAAGTAAAGTCTGCATATGAGCCAAGTGGCCCATCAGGCCGGAGCTTATCCCGGTTTCTATAGCATGAAGCGACTAGGAGTATTTCTACTCCCCCTGGATGGGATGCTAGTCCATCGCAAGGTTACCCTGCAATATTAAATTCGCCGGTACTTATTTATACACCAGAGTGGAAAGAGGCACTGTGAGAGTTAAGTGTCTTGCCCAAGAACATAATAAAATGTTCCCAGCCAGAGCTCGAGGCCAGACTGCTCGAAATAGAAAAGAAATACAAAAATGAAATAACAGGTTGTTTACACAGACAGCTTATAAATTTTAAAAAGGATAACTAATTTTGATTGGAATTGTAACATTGTTATCATGTTAACTTGTGCATGATGTTGTGTCAAAGAATAACAACAGTCTGTTTCAAAATGAAATCATTAAATGAGAGTTCACCATATTTACCAGTCAGTCCAAAATTGACAATATAATAATGTATATGAGTCAGCAGTGCATTTTGGGTCAAGGTATTTTGGTTATGGTCCTTGTTCAGTTAACATTATGAAACAGCTGTATAACAATGATTACTATTATACAAAAATTACAGTGCATGATTTTGAAATTTATTTTAGACAATCAACTTGAGAATGCCAAGGGTATTTTGCCCAATTTCACTTAAGTGAGACGTGGATATTGGCAAAATCTTGTTTACTTTAAGCTAAGTCAAACATAAACAATTTGATATAGCTTGCAGGTAAAAAGGAAATCTATAGCAAAAAAAGGTATTTTCTTCAATATGATAAGAATGATTTCAGACAGTTTTGTTTCAATCATGGACCTGAAGTGATGGGAATGTTTTTATTACAATTTATAAGGTTTTTTTTTCTATAGAACTATGTCCATGTAGAGGAGGCAGGGAAGTAACAAAGTTGTATACAAGGAGGCTCTGGCCCAAGGTCAGAGACCTATCCATTTTACAGTGTTTTTGACAGCAAAGGCTTTCCTTTCATATACATGTAGCTTCTAGCCCGAAACCCCTTTCACAAACCTAATGTGGCCCACTAGATCTTATATCTGGGATAAATAATCAAAAGTATTAATGTTTGAAATCCCTGTCCTGTTAAGTCTGTCAATGTGTGCGTACAAAATAAAACAATAAAGAAACAGTGAAACCAAAACCTAACAAGAATTTAAGTTTACCTTAGACTACACAACGAGAGAAAGCGAGCGGAAACCATCAAATTTTCTTTCCAAGAAAAAAAGCTAATCACGATCTCACTTTCTGGCTTTTCTTCCTGGGTGTCTTGTATCAATTCTTTGACCTCGCCGACCGTGCTGTTGTGAACGATACATGCTGTTGTGAACGATACCTCTTCCAGCTTTCATCTAGGTGTGAGCAAAAGTCGATAGGCAAAAAACAACATTACGAAAGTAAATCACATGAAACCAAAATGGCCGAATCTTCGAGGTGTTCGACAAGCTCGTATCCAGGCTCTCGATTTATCGGGCAAAAATGTACGCCTTTCTAGTCCCCCCTCGTCAAAGAACCTTCCTGAAGACGACTCAACACTCTTGGACAAAAACAATATTTAGCAGGGGAAGTACGAGAAAATTGTTTAATCCAGGTTTAATGAATAAATTAATTAAAATCGAGTGAGTGAGTGAGTGAGTGAGTGAGTGATCGAGCGCAATCCGACTGCCTCCTAAGCTCATGGATGTTATATAACATCCGTGAGCAAAAAGGAATGAAAAATCGTTTGTCTTCTTTTCACAGCCCAAGATAATCCCTTGCCAGAATACGTGTACGCCGAGGATGATGGCTATTTCCCAGTTTGTCAAAGCGGAAATGACGAGGGTCTTCCAGTGAGATGGAAAGCGCCGGAATGTCTACGGCAACACTCGTATTCCACTCCTTCTGATGTCTGGGCATTTGGCGTGCTTATGTACGAGGTACTCACTCTTGGATGCTACCCATACAGACGGATCCGAGAGGATGACGAGGTCGCCAAACATGTAAGAACTTAACAAATTAAGGTTTGGATGTACCGTGTTCCAGTCTTGTAAAGGGGCAATTCAAGCGTTGGGGGAATTTGTAAACTGACGTTTCAAGCTCTGGTTTGAGCGACCAAGGGACAATGCTAGATCTAGATCTATAACTGTTTAAAACAAATATACTATCTTCAATATAGGATAGTATTATATGGTCTTAGCTGGGCTTATATTTCTACTGGAAAAGAGGGGAAATTTATTCGTCTCTTGGTAGGAGTCATGTAGCACCTCTGCTGGTGGAAGTTTCATTTAAAGAATCTGTAATAAAATTGTGTTTTATTAAGGTTTTGAATACAGCCGATGAAGAGGTCCTGGCTCAAGAGCTATCCATTCATGATGATGAATACAAGCTGATGAAGCAGTGCTGGAAGAGGCAGAGAAAAGAAAGGATCCCATTAGCCGACCTTAAAGAAAAACTCAATGATTTGCGTAAGAAATCAGGTACGCAGCGGCTTAAAATAGTTAACTTATCAGCTGGTCATTGCGGCAATGTTACTCTAACTAGCCTCTAGAGATATTTGCTTAAGTGATGATCACCATTAATATCAGCAAAGGTTGGTGAATTAAGCACATGTAATTAATTAAAATAATTAACCGTCATGGTTAATTTGGGAACTGTCTTTTTGAATGTTATACACTTCAGTGTCTTAAGAAAGACCAAACAAGCCACACAGTTCTGATTCTGTTAACCATACGAAAGCTGTTGTTCGCGTTCTGGCTTAGCACTTAGCTTTTTTGCCGTCAGGCTCGCGAAAAGTAAACAAGTGCCTATAGGGCTCGTCAGAAATCATCTAGCTGGTCACTCAGTGAAACGAGAGTTTGGGGTATGAATTTGGGTGATTGCAGGGATCAACGGGCAAGTAGGCACTAGGAGAAAAATGCGATGAACCATCCGGACACCCACAAACATATCGATGGACGATACAAAAACGCCAATTAATCGACTGGCTTTAATTTCATCTTTTCTTTTTTCAGGCAAAGAGAACCTGCGCCCGAACCCACCAGACTTTGAGTCAGACACTGTCGATGTGAGTTTGCTGTTTTGAGTCTTTTCACCATAATTCACGAAACTGTTTCACTCTTAACTCACTTTTAATAGCCAAACTAATAAGCTCAGTTGATCAACTTTCAATAGCAAATGTAGAAGCTCGAAAAAGCACTGTTATCTTTGATCAGTATACTATTATTACTGTTAGTTATATAGCTAGACACGAGTGTTTTACTGGGAAATACACCCCTCGCAAAATTCATATTTCTTGTATTTGTATTGTTTTATTTCTCCGCTTGACGATTTGAATACAGTATTGTTAAAAATAACGTGCAGCGAAGGGAAAGTGGAAAGGGCAAAATATAGTACACTAATTATATACCCTTTTAATTAGACACATTTATTTTAGAATAAAAAGAAAACTAGTATAAGAGAGGAAAGAGTGTCATGGTAAATATTGTATTTTAGGCCCGGTTCAAACGTCGAACTTTACATGTGCCGAACCTAATAGCCCCAATTAAGTACATGACGAGATCGACGTTTGAATCAATTAAGTTCGACAGATGTTTTTTGGGTCGACCCGGGAATTAAGTTCGACATGGCCAGTCGGTCAGTTCGACTATGGAGCGACTCCGATTCAAACGTCCAACTTTTCATGTACCGAACCTAATACATACATTACAAATACATTAAATAAATTAATTTTTACCCAGAGAACTACACGTTTCCTATTTTTGTCATGCGCACACACCTTGTTTTGATCATTTGGAGCAAAATAGCGGGAAGAGCGGGACGATATGTGTTCCTATTACCTGATTTGCGTAAACCACTTCTGCATGCGGTGTTCCGTATTTGAAAACCATGAGACTGTAGCGGGTTGGAAAGCAGCCAGTTCGGTGGCGTACCGCGGGTCATGTTTTTGAGAGAAAATGGCAAAATAAATGAATCTTCAAGAAACTGACGACAGGAACGAACTGGACGAGGAATTGCGATGTTCCTTTGGGAATAAGCGATAATATCAGGCAAACCAAATTCAAAAATCGTCTTCGGTTGTTTAATGCTGATTGCATCTGGGTCGCCTTCTTCGACCCTCCTTTATCGCAAGAAAAGCAAGCTCTTCATTTTCACAATTTGTCTTTCCCAGATTTTTCCGCCATTTTGGTCAGCAATAACCGTCGTTTGCAATAGTGTCTCTTTTATTTTTGCAATTAGTTTCGATTAAATTAGGTTCGACTTTTGAATCAACTGCCGAACTTAATTATTTGGGTCGACCCAAATTGGTATTAGGTTCGGCACATGTAAAGTTCGACGTTTGAACCGGGCCTTAGGCTTCTTAATACTGAGAAAAATAAAACTGGTAAAGTGATTTTTTAATAGTATTCTCCTAGTTGGCTTATTACGTTTAGATAAAGGAATATCATTCCAATAATAGCATCCAATAACAGTTGGGCAGAATTTCCTTTACATCGATACGAAACTACATCCGGGACGCCGTTGTTTGGGCAAACAGTCAGTTTTCGTGTTAAAAACAACATTTTCCCATTCGCTGCACTCGTTTACAAAATATTGTTTTTACCACTGGAAAGTAAAATTAATATCTTCGCGCCGCCGTGCAATATCCTCTGTATATATTTTAAAGTAACTTAATTTTACTTAATTCTGTAGCTAATTTGTTCATTTTTCTGTTATTTCATCTGTTATTTTAGTGTTTATGTAGTAACTTTCTTCAGTTTTCCCTTTCCGTTTTATTCGTAAATAAGCTGTGCACTCTCATTCATACTTACATGTCAAGTGGTTATTTTCGCAATTCTCCCTGCTGCATGTACCTCGATCAACGCCTCTCACAGCTAAATTTGGCTATTTAATTCTCTTGTTATAGGATCCTCAACAACCACAGAAATTGGATGAAGTGGTGTATGACACTATTTCAGGTATCGTTAACAGCTAGTCTTGTTTTATTTCTGTTACCAACTATTTTAATTTATCAATTACCCTTGCTGCTTGGAATTTGAAAGTGAATAGCATTGCTGCATATACACTTTCACATGGTAAGAAATTCTCGGTGCAGTTTTTAAACTCGTGGATACGCGAAGCGTAGAAACGTGTTTCTTGCGGGGACTCCGATATGCAAATGTGTCACTCACTCACTCACTCACTCACTCACT